CGAGATAGGGTTTCTCTGTGGTGTTGGAGGCTGTCCGGGAACTTGCTCTTGTAGACCAGGCTGGTCTTGAACTCACAGAGATCCGCCTGCCTCTACCTCCCAAGTGCTGGGGTTAAAGGCGTGCGCCACCAACACTCGGTGTGTGTAATATTTTTTTACACCAACCCCAGGCATTGTAAAGTGTAAGACTACAATGTGGAGGAGTCACTTCACTCACCTCCCAGATAGACAGCTAGATGGGCTCTCTAGAGCTCACAGGTTATAAAAGCTGACATCTTGATAGAGATCTATGTGGAGAGAAGCCAGATTGCAGTGGCTTTCAGAGCTATGCATTTGAATTGCCTGACTATTTGTATTGAAACCAATAGTACATTAAGCAGCTATGGGCTTTGTGTATGAGTGATTTCCTGCATGTACACACATGCACAGTGTGCGTCTCCAAAGAAAGTGTCGGATTTCGGAACTGGACTTAGATACAGGTGTGGGTGGCCAAATATTTGCTGGGACCAGTCCTTTGAAAGCACAGTGAGTGCTCTTAACTGCTGAGCCATATGTCCAGCTGTGTGTCCACAGGTGAAAGCAGGGAAATGTTGGGGGACTTGGGGACAGTCGGCCCTGTTTGCTTTTTCTGATGGTCTCCCCAGTTAGTCTTACTGAACTGGTGCTTTCCATGCCTGTGGGCAGATGAGGGTGGCACAGACGCAAGGTGTCGAGTGGGTCCTGCAGATGTGGTTGGATCTGGATATTTGGGTTCATAGGCTAGATTCCAAGGGGTGACCTTTAAACACTTCCGTGTGTTGACAACTGTTTTGTAGGAGGGATAAACCAATATATCCCATGTCTCTCTCTCTATCTAATTTCAAAACAGAAACATTATTACATAATGATATTTTTTCCAAGTCAGACCACCACTTGGGGGCATATTAAATTATTTAAACACTAGATGCTAAAATAAATCACTTGTCCCTAACAAACACCTGTCTCTGTGGTACAAGGTGGTGCTTTGCCAGTCTTGTTCAGAGGAGGGACCAAATCTGATAGAGGAGGGAAGCTAAGTAAATGGACTAGCCCCAGAAGATGATATTTAATCCCCTTTGTTCCTTTTTATGGACTGCTACCTGGTTAATGTTCCTTTGATCTGCCTGTGACTTCAGACTTAAAACGAAATAATATAAACCCTTAGATCAAGATTGTTCTATTAGCATTTGAAGCTAAAAAGAATGTATGGTGCCTCTCCCCTGTAATCTAACAGTTGGGAGGGTGAGACAGGAAGCTTGCCTTGAGTGTAAGGCTAGCCTGGGTTATGTACAAGAGTCCATCTGAAAACACAGAAAATGAAATCCATGTGTAACTGAGTAATTAGAGGGTATTAACACATATGCCCTCTAGATGGTAGGCACCTAAGCTGTTTTCGTGTGCATGTGTGTGAGCAGGCGCGCGCACGCGCGCGCGCGCGCACACACACACACACACACTCACTCACTCACTCAGTGGTGACAAAGAATTGTTTCCAGCCATTGTCAGGTAACCCTCAGGGAGCAGGGACTCTGCCTTGGACAGAGGGAAGACTGTTAATGCTTTCATGGGTGCTGAGTCCTGTGGTCTCTTGACTATAGCTCTCTGCTTGATTAAATAGGTTCACGGTGAACACATGAAAAAAGGGTTTTGATTTTTAACCAGCTGGCTAAACTAAAAGCTCTTAAGTGATGTAATTTCAAAAAATACCTTCAATGATTTTAGAAGACCAGGATTCACTGTTTTCATTTGATTCTGTTCTAATGGGCAAATCATGGAAGGTTCCAGAAGGATGTGCGACTCTGAAAATGTGCATTACCTGACTTAGTGAGAAACCTGGCCTCCCACAGGTAGGAGGGTTCAGCATGGAGAACACAGGACTTCCCTCAGGCCCAGCCTCCTCGGGCAGTTGTCCAGCAGTGGCCATGACCACACAGCAGCTAGCACTTGTTTCCTCTAGATGGCAGTCACAGAAGCAACAAATAAAACAGTCAAGTCCAAACGTAAAGTTAGGAAGAAAAGGGGGACTCGGACTCCTTGCCCCTCTTTCACCCGGAGCCGCTGATGCCCACAAGGAGCACAGGTTGGCCAGCTGAAGATCTCCCCTCCACTCACCCTGCCCTTGCATTCACTGCAGGTAAAGCTGGTTTTCAAAACCACAAATCTAGTTGAAGATAATGCTGTTCTATTGCTATGTGACTTTTATTCAGTGTCTGGAAGCAGATCCAGGGGCCTAGAGTGTATTATACAATATTTATTATAAAATATTATAATGCATATTCATTATAATTCATATTACACTGTATTATAATATAGTTATTGGAATGATTTTGATATTTTATTATGAACAACTCAAATACATACAAAATAAAGTTTTAATAGGCCCTATAGTTTCATTTTTTTCATATTTGCTTTATGTACTTCTTTAAAACTGTAGTGCACAAAGATTTTCTTAAAGAAAGATATTTCTACAATAGCAGGGTCTAAGAAAAATTTCCCATAATCCTCACCTACCTTACCTTTCAATTCAATCTATTTTCCTTGTGCATTTGTGACCACAATGCAATGAGAATTTAGCTGTGAAACTTATATGAGGTATACAAATTCGCTTTTGTATACAGACTTTACATGTCTAGCTTAGTCTTAATTCAGCAGCATTTTAGGAGTACCTAAGTGTTGGAGAGCATAAAATGATGAGTAAAACAAAATAGAAGATGACTCCTGACATGCTTGTTAAAAATGGGATTTTAAAGATGTTTGACTAGAAAACTAAAGAGAAAGAATGATTCTATCCCATGCTAGCAGGTCAAGGCAGAGAAGTCAGCACTAGCATTGATGAAGCTGATTTGGAGAGGCAAGCTACTCCCTGTCTGTTAGTCTGATTCTCGCGCTGGTAGAGCTCCTCAGCCCGGCTCCCCTGTGTACTAGCTGCCTGTGGAGTCCCTGGGAGGTGGTGATTCTTGTATGTGGCAGAGAAACCATAGCTTAGGCTTTGGTGGGGCCAACCTGCTTGGACCACCATTAAATTGACTGGTTTGTCACTCTGTCTCATCATGGGGAGATGGAACGGTGGTCAGAGGTGAGCTGTTCTGCATCTTTTTTTTTTTTTTTTTTAACAAGACAGGGTTTCTCTGTATTGTTTCGGAGGCTATCGGTCCAGCCCGGCCTCGAACTCACAGAGATCCGCCTGCCTCTGCCTCCCGAGTGCTGGGATTAAAGGCGTGCGCCACCATCGCCCGGCTTCTGCATCTTTAAGAAAGATTCATTTACTTATTTTATGTCTGTCTGAATTTATGTCTGCACACTACTCAAGTCCATGTGACTTACAGTTATAGGCAGTTCTGAGCTGCCATGTGGGTACTGGGAATTGAACCTAGGTCCTGGAAGAACAGCCAGTTCTCTTATTTGCTGAGCTATCTCTCCAATCCCTGTTCTGCATTTAAAACAAAACAAAACAAAACAAAAGACCTGTTTTCTGGGCTGGAGTAATAGCTCAGTGTTAGAGCACTTGTTAGCATGCCTGAGTCCCTGGGTTTGGTCCATTTTTTAGTGTTAGCACTCTGCTATTTAAAACAGTAATAATAACAAAACAACATATAAAACAACCAAGGAAAGCTGGGAATGCAGCTCGGTTGGTGGAATGCTTGCCTAATATGCGTGAGGCCCAGCAGCCCACAATCCTGGGGTAGTAAGTGGCATGTGCCTGTGATCTCTGCCCTCAAGAGGCAGAAGCAAGGTGGATGAGAAATTCAGAGTTTGCAGCTAGCCTGGAATACAGGAGGCCCTGTCTCAAAAGGAGTGAGCAAGTGAGTCTAGCATAAGGAAAACACCCCTTTTAGGTCACTGCTTCCGACTGTGCCTGCCTTCCTCCTCGTTTGCTCATCTCAGGGGATACAGACGCACTCTGCACTTGGGGTGAAGCGTATCGTCCGTGGAAAGTCAGCTGCAGATGGAGCCATTGGAGACACTCCCATTACCCCCTTTTCTCCTTTCCCGCCTATGGCAGCGCTGAGGATTGACGTCAAGCCCTTGTTGGCTCGGCAAGTGCTCTACCACTCAACCACACCCCAGCCTTCCCACTGCTCTTACTTGCTTCTACAGTTCAGCAGCGATAGAAAAAAGAAGAACATGACGGTTATAAGCTAGTTTGACTTTACCAACTTCAAACCTTGTCATTTAGTCAAGGTCCACTTTTTAAAATTCTATTCAGGCAGAAAGTAAACTTTGGGAACTTTCGATTCATCTCCCCATGTAGATAGCAGTTTGATTCATATTATACAATAGAAAGAAAATAATGAAGCTGTGGAAACTATCAGACCCTAGGTTCTATGCAGACACAAATTTAATTTGAAATGAGAATCACATCGCACTGAACAAATACTCTTGACATTTATAATTGCTTTTCAGATGTGCTACATTCTCAGTCCCCAGTATGTGTTTATATCCTGGCAAAAGCGTTCACAGCTGGATTGGAAAGATGGCTCAGTAGCTAAGGGCAGTTGCTGCTCTTCCAAAGGACCCAAGTTCAGTTTCCCACACTCATATCTGGCATCTCACAGAATCTGTAACTCCATTTCCAGGGATCTGACAGCCTCTTCTGGCCTCTGTCAACTATAGCACTCATGTGCACAAACCCCAACACCCACACACATACAATTTAAAGTGAAAATAAAACCTTATTTTTAAAAATTTCATGGCTGTTTCCTGTGCTGTAACTTGTTAGTCATGGGTGATAAGCAAAAGACTCAGAGTCTCTTGTCATTGAGCATATCTAGGAAAGGTGGGGGGGGGGGGCATTCCAGTAACATCTCTTCCTTCCCAGAGTGAATGGCTTATTCCCTCACTTTGAGAGTTAGCGGAAATAGATTGGTAAATACGTTACAAAGTTTAATTGCCTTTAAGAACTGAATCTCAAAGTTGTGGATTATGTGGTGAAGTGCTTGCGGGGCCTTAATGTGCATTTATGCCTCTTTCTTTTTTGGCAGGAAATCACTACCTGCTTGCCAGACTACTACAAATGGACCCAATACCTGTTTATCAAACTCTACGAAGCTGGATTGGCCTATCAAAAGGAGGTAAAGTTCATGTTAGCTATCCTTTTTAAAATTTTAAAATTCTCTCCATCTTAGAACTATCACTTTTAGCCAGGTGTGGCGTCCACACCTTTAATCCTCACACTTGAGAAGCAGAGGAAGGCAGATCTTGGTGAGTTTGAGACAAGCTTGATCTGTAAAATGAGTTCCAGGATAGTCAGAGCTACTTAGTGAGACCCTGTCCCAAAAATACCCCCCCACCACCAAAAAAATCATAACTTTTACGTGAAAATCCTGTTTGCATATAATGGTAAAGATGAATGTGGCCTCAAGTCCATAGACTCATCACAGCAGACCTAGCACTACCAAAAACAAGACAGTATTTCTTTTTACCTACTATGTAAAACCCTTCCTGCAATCTCCCTAGTGTCAGTGGTAACAGTAGATGGGCCAACCTTCTTTGCTTTATGAACCTAAGAATTGTATGTCCTAGATACTTAATACCTGGTCATCTCTTTATACTTATGAGGGGAAGACCCTGGGGACCCTGTGTTAGAGGAAATAAACTGTCCCCTGCCTGTCTTCCCATCTGATTCTAGGCGGCATAGCTTCAAGTTTTTGGTGACTATGCTACTTAGAATTATAAAGTCTTAACCCAGATTATAGCTCATGGATTAACTAACTGCTCTCCACTCTGATTTTTATGCTGATGTGGAAAACATCCAGAACCAGTCAGGTCCCAGCACATCTTGAAAGAGCCACTGAAGAGACTACAATAAAGGGCTGAGTGTGCTGACTTTAGCAGGGTCCCAAAGGGCTGGGAAGTTCTCGGCTAGCACCGGTGAGAGGATGCCCTTGTCACTTGGCACACGCTAGAGGGCAGTGTTGGGCCCCTGACCAAGCCTTTGGTGGCACCTCCCACAGCCCACCAGGCTTCCTCACAGAAGGCAGGTTAGCCTGCAGACCAGACTCCAGGTGGATGCAGACCGTAAACAGGAAGGAGAAGGGTCTATGAACCATGTAGTTGCTAGCACCGTCTCTCTCTAGTGGGAATTGCTAGGAATACTTTTTGGTGCTGAGGAATTGCACATGTTAAACACATAGTCTACCATTAAATTTTTTAGCGCTGTATCTGAAATCAGGTAGTACAACCCCTAGACTTCTCTATCTATATTTATACTCAGTGCCTGCTTCGTACTAGGAGGCACCTGAGTGTCACCAAGCGGTAAGTGTAGGCAGAGACTAAAAGGAACTCTGGAGAGTCTTCCTCATGGTTAGGACCATGTGTTCTACCAGCCAGGTGAACCTTTGGAGTGGGACTCAGAGTGGTTACCTTGGGACACAGTGTTAAAGGCAGAAAGTATAGCAGTTTTCTGGAGGTGCTGAAAATGCTCTGTGTTTTGACATGGATAGTGGTTACATGTTTACTCATTTTAAAAAAATCATTAATTGTTCACTTAAGACTCATCTGCTTTCTGTGTAATACACTTTAAACTGCAGTCTTTAAAAATTGTGAACATAGACTTGAATTCCTCCCCTGTCTGTCAATGTCTCTGAGAACTTAGGTATGTTATGTTGCTCCTCATACTCATTCTCTGTGATATGATTCTCTGAGGATACAAGTCTTCTACCACAAAGCTGATTGTGAGAATCAAAGGGCCACACCACAGGCCAAGGGTAATGACACACAACTGTACTCCCAGCTCTTGGAAGACTAAGACAGTTCAAGTGTCAAGCGTAGCCTGAGCTAGACAGCCACTTAGCTTTAAAAAGCCACATAGCATGGGGACTGGTTATCACTCAGTGAATTAGTGTTATTATTAAAAATAAGTATATTTATTTCTTCTGCAGTAACCCTATTATTCTAAACTTTAAATAAATGCAATTTTTTCTTCTTTTGCAAAGTGTTCTACAATTTCAAATCCTGAATGTTTATCCTGTCATTCAAGAAAAACCTAAAGTTGAATTAGACATGTACTCAAAGGCTTCCCCTAGTCTACTCTAACAAGGGCATTTCATGTGTCCTTGTCACAGCTTGCTAGTGGCCCATTGACCAGGCAACCCACCCTAAAGATGCCCTTAGGCTTGGAATCACACTGTTACATTACAACCTTGTTCTCCAAGGGCACCTACACAGGGCATTCACCACGGTGTACCCTCCTGTCTCCTGTATCCTAACAGGCTTTGGTTAACTGGGATCCAGTGGATCAAACAGTGTTGGCCAATGAGCAAGTGAATGAATATGGCTGTTCATGGCGTTCTGGAGCCAAGGTGGAGAAGAAATACCTCCGACAGTGGTTCATTAAGACAACTGCATATGCAAAGGTAAGTGGTGTTAAGAGTCTCTTAGTAATGCCCCCTATGTGGGTAGACCACACTGGTGGTTCTGTGTAAGGAGCCTAAGAAGAGCCTTTAGAGAGGGAAGGCAAAGAACCTCAGTGTTGTTCATGTGGGCAAGGGTCTCGGAGCTTTAACATTAAGAGGTACCTGGAGGTCATTCCAGGTCATTGTTTTCAGAGCTGTCACAAAGTAACAGTAACTCTGCCTGTAATTGTGCAACTGCGAAAGAAAAGGGAATGAGTCTTTGTGAAGCTGCAGAGGGCTTGAGTTCTAGTTTCTCTGCACCATCACTTATGGTGACCAGAAGTGAAGGGCTGACCGGTCCTCCAGGAGGTGAGGCCAGGGTAGGAATGAGCTGGGCCAAATCCAAAGTTCCAGATGTGACTCTTCTATGCTTCTGATCCATAGTGAAGGCTGCCATGGGCCTCAGTTTCCCAATGAGTAAGGTGAGTGGTTAGACCTGATGATGATTTAAGCACTTTCTGGCTCATTTCTGTATTCAGAGATTAAAGACAAAGCTGGCAGTAGAAGCAGTGTTGCTTACAAGTCATAGTGGCCTGGACAAAGTCATGTGTGTAATACCCCGTGCTTCTGTTTTGAGTTAAGTCTCAAAGGCAACTCACTGCATGCTGGGACAAAGTCCAGGTCTCATCTGCAGGTAACTCAGGTCACATATGTACATATGCGTGACTAATGTACAGAGAAAGCACAGGGTTCTAACTTCTGATTACCACACTCTGGACCAAACCCAAACCACGTCCCAGCAGCTCAGCAGACCCTGATTGTGCTCCCTCTAAAGACTGCAGGGAGGCTCATTTTCTTTTCAATCATTTTTACACAGCTGACTCTGGGCAGGGATCTGGAAAAGGTTCAAAAGAGCTTATTAGTCGGTGCCTGTCAGAGGGCAAAGCTGAGAGTGCAGCTTTCTGAGTAGGCCCTCTCTGCTAGCCTCAGACCCACCAAGTTCCTGAGAGGGGTGCCATTCCCCCAACCCTCCAGGGACTCTCTGATGGCATATTGGAAAGAAGGGGTGCCAGTCCCCTCCCTGATGTGCCATGCAACTCTAATGGCAGTGTTGGAAGGCTACCTGGTCAGTGCCTACATTTTGACCTCTGCCTTGAGTTGGAAATGTAATAACCTGGCACCAGAGGCATTGTTCTTTAAACTGTCAACTGTGAATTTTCAACTGTTCAGCGGAAATGGTGAGTTGCCATGGTAACTCTTGGTTCTTGCTGAACTCCTGTGCAGATTTATTGAAAAAGCTCTTAGGAGGTCAACACTGAAAATTGGGAGAAGAGGGAGAGTCCATAATCCTGGCACAGGCAGTGGCTGTGGTAGGAGAGCAGAGCAGACCCAGGGCTGTGGGGCACATGGAAACCCTGGGATTATGCCTGGTTAAGAGAGGCATTGAATCTCCAGAGGCCGTGATTGGAAGCATGGATAACATCCTAGGACTGGGGACAAAAACAGAATAGAGTGGTAAGCCTCTGAGAGACTCAAATAGAACTTCTAGAACAAAATAGATCCAAAAAGGGGTCAAGCATGAGCCCGTGCCCCCGTAGGGTATCATCTGCAGTACCCAGTGTGTAATAAAAATTACTACATCTTTTTTTTAAAGCAGGATACTGTGACCCTTAATTAAAAAAAAAAAGTTTAGACATAGACCAAGGGGTAGAAGTTAGTTAATAATACCGAGGTATTTGTTACATAAATGAACAGTACTTGAAAAGATGATCATTGTGAATTTCAGGAGAGCAGAAACCACCTATAGCAATGAACCTACTAGAAATCTGGACCAGAGGAGTACATCAGAAATTAGAGAAGCTTCAGTGATTGGGCTGCAGGGGGACAAGCAAGAGTGGAATAGACCATAAAGCCAACTTTGTGTTCTGAGGACACTCCCTCACGACAGTCCCGCCCTTTATAGGGAAAACATGTTGAGTGACCCTAGCAGATACATAAGTGCTGGGGGTGGAGAAGCTAAGAGATGAACACTGTAAGTCAAACGTGAGAGCCATATGGAAAGACTCAAAGTAGGTCTGGAGAGGCGATTAGGGACTGGATCAAGTCTGACAAATTTTGGCTTCAGCACAGGAACAGCATGAAATAATGAAATATTATAAAGAAGGGGATGATGTCAGAATAATGGGGTAGTTCTTGTTTTTTTTTTAAGATTTATATATTTTTAAAATCATGTGTATGTTCCAAAACATTACAGAGAAACCTTGTCTCGTAAAACCAAAAAAAAAAAAAATCATGTGTATGTGTGTGGGTTTGTGCTTGTGAGATGTTCTGGATCCCATGGAACTGGGGTTACAGATGGTTGTGAGCCACCCAGACTGGGGTGAACTCTTCTCTCAATAGCAGAAGGCACTGTTAACCCTGGAGCCGTCTCACTAGTCCCCAGAGTTTCGTTTTCATAAGACCATTGTGGAATGGATAGTTGTGTCAAATGCTTTGCAATGGTCCTGACATGCAGAATCTGGGCTTAGGTAGGAGAAGTAGAAGGGGGTCAGAAAAGTACCCAGAGGCAGAATCCCCTGAGCTTGGTGATCTATTGGATGAGAGGAAGCAGTAGTGGTAGCACCCAGGAAGACCTGACGTGATGGGAAGTGCAGGGTCAGCCCACTCTCTTGGGTGGATGTAGTCCATTGAGTCTGAGATGGCCATTAGACACCCTTGAGTGGAGAGGGAAAAATAATAGGAGCTTAGAAACTTTGATCCACGTTCTTAAAGATCAAATGAAATAGGATTCTTGAAAACCTGGTATGGTAGAAATTTTCATGAATTAGTGAAGAATCTTGGCTGTGTAGATAAGGATGAGACATTGGATCCATTAAGAATGCTTTTCAACCAGGCGGTGGTGGCGCACGCCTTTAATCCCAGCACTCGGGAGGTAGAGGCAGGCGGATCTCTGTGAGTTCCAGACCAGCCTGATCTACAAGAGTGAGTGCCAGGACAGGCTCCAAAGCCACAGAGAAACCCTGACCAAAAAAAAAAAAAGTGCTTTTCAGCTACAAGCAACTGAAAATCCAAATCGTGGAGGGTTATAAAAAAGTAGGAAGTTATTTTTCCCGAATGGTGAGAGCCAGTTGCTGGGACCGAACTGGGACAAGGACTCTGACTTGCCATGCCAGTGCTTCTCTCGGCCTTTTCTTCCTGCTTGTGACCTGGTGGTTGCTAGGCGGCCACTGCAGCTCCCTCCAGATACCAAGTCTCCATTCAAGACAGAAGTGCTGGGAGCAGGGCAAATGAGTCCTTTCATCTGGAAGGCAAGAGCTTTCCCAGAACCACTGCCTGCAGTAGAATCCCAGTCATGTTTTGTGTCACGTGACCACCCCTGGCATAAAGGAAGAGAGCGAAGTGGACCTGGGCTTTTCTGTTTCTGCAGTCCTGGTGGTGGAGGGATGAGCAGTGAGCACTAGCTGGACCTGAGAGCTGTCAGCCACAGGGACCTTCAGAGCTCTGTGTTTGCCCCAACGTTGCCCATTTGGTCAGCTTAGGAGCAAGGCTGTGTCCAGGAGCCCTCTCTCTCACTTGCGTTCCAGAGTCTAAAGGGAACTCTGACACTGAAAACCATCTTATTAAAGGCTGCTGTGCAGTGTGTCGTATTTCTTCCTTTCACCCTTGCCCAGCCCTTCAGAGTTGTTTGCTGTGAGTTGTAAGCATGATCTCAGCCATTGACAAAAGGAGCTGAAATGGGAGAGAAGACTGTGCCAGGGTATGGGTGGTGTCTCATGGGCTGCTGTGCTGCCTCACCCAAGAGGAGAGGAAGAAGAATGGTGTTTTCCATGCAGGAGACACAGGGTTTGGCTGTGTTGGATGTCTCATTCCCCTTAGCAGTTTTACCTAACTGCCCTTATTAAATCATAGTTTCCAAATTGTGCCCTCCTGGGAGTCCATTGACCAGGGCAGAGGGAGGTGCTTTCCTCCAGCTCGCTCAGATGTCCTTTGTGAGTGAAAACTGCTGAGAACTGTGCTTCCCCTGAATGTTCTACAAGGCGGAGTCACTGGAACTTCAGTCGAGGAGAGGTTAGAATGTTGCAAATGCAGACCCACATTTTCTTGGGGGCTACTTTAGCCCTCTTATTAGTCATTTATTTCCCCCTCTGTATTTGACCTAAGGTATTTGTGACCATTAGGTAAATCCTTGGCAATGTATAAACAAAACTCTAGTTTTTCTTTGGAATATATGAACAGACCCTTAGTTTCCAGCCAATCAAAGGCCTACGAATGTTTTCAAATTGGATCTGCGGCCTAAAGTAGAACTTTCCTCACTTTCTGTAGCTGCCTGTCTGCTGCTCCCACCAAAGTGCCTTGATTTATGGCTTCCTTTGTTCTATAAAATAAAAACTTCGTCAAAGTCTTGCCACATTGGCACATGGAGTTTGGTGTATCCTAAATCTGTGTTATTGGACCATGGTCACTCATGTATGACTCCAGAACAAACCATCTCTTCTCCCTTGGGAGGTGAGAGCTGGGGTTTTGTTGTTGTTTGTTTTGTTTGTTTTTGTATGTGTTCGTGCACAGGGTCTCTTGCTGGCCTTGAACTCTAGATCATCCTGCCTCAGCCTTCCAAGTGCCAGGATTAAAGTATGTGCCACAAAGCCTTACTCCTCAGGATTTCAAACCACTTTAAAAAAAGTCTAGAACCTGGAATTTCCCCCAGTGAGCCAGCTGGGCTTCTGTCCCTGTGGTTTACCTGGTGGGAAGAGGAACTATTGCCAAGGGTAGGGAAGTGAGATGAGACCAGGGCCACCCTCACTGAGAGAGGATGGACGGGAAAGCTGAGTGGGTGTTGCTGCTCTGTCATATGCTGTGTTTTGGGTGAGGCATTCCCTAAAGACCTGCTTGTCCAAAATTTGCCTTGAATAAATGCGTTCATTGTACAGGGACTCAAAAAGAGCTTATTTGATGCTCCAAGATATTGGTTTCATTTGTTCAATTTAAAAAATTTCACTTTGTAAAAATATTCATAGATTTGCTTAGATTTTTAGGCCAGCATCTTTCCAGAATTAGCATGTGAAAAATATTCACATTTCTTCCTATTTGAATGTTTGGACCTTGTTTCCATCTGAATATTTTAAGGCTAGGCACCTCCACCAGGAGTTTTCCCGCCCTTGACATGCAATCTGGGAAGAAAGCAAAACAAAACCACTGGCTGCTAACCTGCCACCTCAGCACTCGGAGAAGGCAGGAGGATTAGAAATTCAGAGTCAGCCTGGGCTAAGAGTCTGTGTCAAAACAAGCAAAGAAAAAGAACTGGAAGGGGTAGAGGAGGGACAGGAAGAAGAGGGGGAGGAGGAAGAGGAGGGGGAAGAGGGAGAGAAGGAGGAGGGGGAGGAGAAGGGGGAAGACATTATCACAAGGTAGGGTTCTGTTGGTGTAGCCCAGAGATGCTGGGAAGGGTGACACAGAATTCTGTGGGAATTGTCGGCAGTCAACTGGAATATTCTGTGGCAGGGAAAGATGGGGAGAGGTGGAGGTCATCTGCAGGTCATGAACTTCTTTTGACCTCCATACTGGGGGAGAGAACACAGGAAACACATTCAGCAATGATGTGAATTGGGGTCTTTGTCCATTAGTTAGTTTGCTTCCTTCTTTCCTTCCTTCCTTCCTTCCTTCCTTCCTTCCTTCCTTCCTTCCTTTTCTTTCTTTTTTTTAAAGATTTATTTATTTATTTATTATGTATACAGTGTTCTGCCTGCATGTGTGCCTGCACGCCAGAAGAGGGCACCAGGTCTCATTACAGATGGTTGTGAGCCACCATGTGGTTGCTGGGAATTGAACTCAGGACCTCTGGAAGAGCAGCCAGTGCTCTTAACCTCTGAACTATCTCCCCAGCCCCCCATTAGCTTTCTTTCTTCCATGAAACCTTGAACCTTGAACAGATGTAGGTCAGGTTGATCTTGCTTAGATGGTTTGTGCATTAAGTGCCTCTGCTGGCTTTTGCTACTTCTGCTGAGACATGAGAATGAGGGAATCTGATGTCCAGAACTTTCTTCCATGTCCCTACCATTCCTACCTCAAGCCCCGTACCACTTGTTCTCATATGAGCTTAGCACTGCAACTTTTCTGTTTTTATTTATATTTCCTCAGGCCATGCAGGATGCTTTGGCAGACCTCCCAGAGTGGTATGGAATCAAGGGCATGCAGGCCCACTGGATTGGGGACTGTGTAGGCTGCCACCTAGACTTCACATTAAAGGTAAAAACACACTGGCACCCCCAGCGTTCATGCTCACAGATCTGTCTTGCAATGTAGAACTCTTTGAATACACAGCAGCTCTGCACCTGACTGCAGAACTGCCCAGGAAAAAGAGAACTGGGAGGGCATCTGTCTGAGCAAGCTTTCTCTGCCTTCATCCTGGCCTGCTTGGTGCTGAGTGCAGAGTGGGGTCTGACCAAGGAGCCCCCTGCTCTTCTGCCTGGCCCCTCCTCCTGTCCACATTCCTGGTCCTGTGGTTAGAAGCTGCCATGGCTGTTTGGAAATGAGGGGAGGGGTGGAATGGGGAGCCACCTAGCTCAGCAGGAGGATTGCAAATGAAATGTCACGTTTCATCCTTCCAGGTTGACGGACAAGACACAGGAGAGAAACTGACAGCATACACAGCCAGCCCTGAGGCCATTTATGGCATTTCCCACGTGGCCATTTCTCCTAACCACAGGCTTCTACATGGCTGCAGCTCTCTGAAGGAGCCCTTGCAGAGGGCACTTGTCCCTGGCAGAGGTGAGCGGCGTGGTGAAGCACAGGCCCCTGGAGTCACCTCCGTCAGCTGGAGAGCAGTGCGCAGACCCTTACACTTCCCACCCTCTGTTCTTCACCTCCGCAGTGGTTTTCACTTTTTTATCCGATAACTTAAGGATGAAACTGTTCTGGCAACATTATGTTGCCTGTCCTGAGTTTCCCTGAGTCCCTGCCTTTCTGCACTCAGAGCTTGCCCAGAAGCTCTGTTCTTTACCTTTTAATTCAGGATTAGTTTAAAGCTTTCTTCTGATCGGGAGAGACTCATTCCCCCAAATTTTTAATTCCTTTAGCATTTAAAACTGAACTAAAACAAAAAAGGCCGAAGGCCAGAAAGATGGCTCGGTGGATAAAAATGCTTATTGTCATCGAGCCTGAAGACTTGGGTTCAATCCTTATGATCTGCATAGGGGAAAGAGAGCAGCCACCTCTAAGTCCTTTGACCCCTGCCACACACACACACACTGTAGCACACACTCCCCCTCTTCACCCCCTCGTAAATAAGTAAATGTACTAATAAAAACTTAAAGCATGAGGATAAAAATTGACAACATGCAGTTCTGGGTTTCCCTGAGTGATCACTGGCCGTTTCCTTGGCAAGGGGAAGTCCACACACCTTTGATCAGACACAAACTGCAGCCAGCCAGGGAGGGGATGAGGGGCATAGAGTCTAGTGGGTGAAACGACGCCCTTGTTATTAGACGTATTTCTCTGGAGAAGCTTTAAATGTCTCTGCAAAAATCTCATCCTGTGTGACCTCTTACCCTGTGAACTTTAGCCTGCAGCTTGCACCTAAATTACTGGCTCTCAAACTGTTTTGGATGGTGTAAACTGGAAAATGTTTTGACAATTTACTTTTGCTTCACACAGTGATTTTTCTGAGTGCAATGAGGATAACCCTAGTCACCTGTTCTTCCTAGGAACTGCTGTGGGCCCAGACTCCTGGGTCACAGACAGGTTTTTACCATCCTGACTGTAGGTTCCTCTGAGCTTAGGACAGAAGACACCCAACACAAGGCAGGTCTTGTCCCTCGCCTTCACCTTTTGTTGTTATATATTGAAATCGTAAAGAAAAGATACAAGTTAGAATTCATGTGTGCTTTTAAGGCCTCTGTGCACATGTCCCAAGTTCTGTAGTCCTTACTTTCCTGACAAAAGCAACTTACGGGAAGCGTGAGGGTAGAGAAATCATGGTAACAGGAGTATGAGGCAGTTGATCACATTGCATCCAGTCAGTGTGAATAAGAATGGCCCACATAGGCTCATGCATTTGAACGACTGGTCACAGGGAATGGCAAAATATGAAAGAATTAGGAGGCAAAGGCCTTGCTGGAGGAAGTGAGTCCCTGGGGGTGGTCTTTCTTTTTCTCTCTGCCTGTAGATCAGGTTGTAGCTTTCAACTGCTCCTCCAGCATCAAGCCTGGGGGCCACCATGCTCCCTGTGGCTATGCTTCCTGCCTTGATAATAATGGACTAAACCTCTGAGATTGTAAGCAAGCGCCAGTTAAATGCTTTCTTTTCTAAGAGCTGCTGTGGTCATGTTGCAGTGTTCACAGCAGTAGAACACTGACTGAGACATCTGGGAAGTAAAGGAGAGGTGAATGGTGCAATTTAGCTCACTTTTCCTTTTTATTCAGTCCCGGACCCAAGCCCATGCAAGGAAACCCCTTGTGGATATACCCATGGTGATTCTAAAAACCAGGCAAGCTGACAGTGAAGGTTAACCTCTCCGGGTTTGTTTGTTTGTTTTTTCTGTAATGAGAGAAAGGAAGGAAGAAAGAAAGAAAGAAAGAAAGAAAGAAAGAAAGAAAGAAAGAAAGAAAGAAAGAAAGAAGAAAGAAAGAGAATTTCAGCTATTTGAAGGGAGAACTCAGGTTTTATCCTTTTGAGTAATTTGAGATTCCTTGAAGCTGTTGATGGTTGAAAAGTAAATACTAAAAAGCTAAATACTGTAAGTATCCAAGTCGTACATTTGCTCCCCTCCTAGTTAATTTTGGGCCACAAAATGAAATCATCTTAATAATTAATGAGCTAACAAGCTATAAGAGATTACAACCCCTGAGTTGAAGACACCATAGATTCGAAGCACCTTCTCATGGTGCTGAGGAATTATCTCAGTCACTCTTCTGTACTGTGCTCAGTGATTTGAAGACTTGGTCCCCAGTTGGGGGAAAGATTAGGAGGTGTGGCCCCACTGGAGGAGATGTGTCACTGAGGGTAGGCTTTGAGGTTTCAAAAGCCTAGGCCATTATTAGTTAGCTCTCTCTCTTTCTCTGCCTTGTGCCTGTGGATCAGTACATAAGCTCTCAGCTACTGCTCCAGTGTCATGTTCTCTGCCATGATGGTCAGGGACTTATCTCAAATTGTCAGCCCAAGCTCTTCTAAACAAACTCTTCTAAAGGTTGCCTTGGCCATAGTGTCTCAGCACAGCAACAGCAGAAAGCAGGATCCTATACCTGTCTCTTTCTTCATTTAGCCTTTCATTCGCAAGAGCACACATATTCCAGTGTCTCCTAAGGACAGGGTGCGTGGGATCTCTGGATGTCTGGGATCTCTTTTCCGCTTTCTGCTCTGCTTGCTAGCCACGTTGTCATCCGTTTGCTTTACAAGTTCGTGCTCCCTCTTTTCACTACAGGAAGGTTTTGTGTTTTATCATTCTCACTGCTGGAGATAATTTTGAAAAGTAAAAGGTGGTAATGAGATGGCTTTTCCATCTGGAACTCTGAAACCCCCTTCTTCTTTGCTTGTGCGTGCAGATGGACGAAACTTTCTCCCATGTTCGTTTAATCTTCTCATTTCCGCTGGTGTGAATTATCTGCTAATACCCTTCAAAGCACCAGCTCTTCAGCAATTAGCACACAGCATGGAAGATGTGGTGCTGCTTTTTCTCACTTGTCTGCTCTGGGGTGTGTCTAGCTGATGGATCTGTTCTTGTTTTCAGATTGCCTCACACCAGTGATGGCTGTGAACATGCTCACCCAGCAGGAGGTCCCCATCGTTATCATGGCCAAGGCTGACTTAGGAGGTTCTCTAGAATCAAAAATAGGTATGTGGTTGTTTATATGTCATGCGTGCTAATAAATTATGCAGGTTTAGGGGCAAAGGGCTCACAGTTCTTGCTGTCACTTAGGAGATTTTACCATTGAGTCTGTGATGGGTTTTGCCTCTTAGTGAAACTTTATGCCCCCCCCCCCCCCCTTTCATTCTCTTTGTAGCTGAGGATCAAATCTAGGGCTTCATACATTGCTAGCAAAGCAATCTACCATGAGCTGCAACCCCAGTCACTTTCCTTCCATGTAATTGTTATTTAGTTAAGGACTGCATATTCAAGAGCATGGTGGTACACACCTGAATTCCTAGCATTCAGGCGCCTGAGTTGGGACAGTCACAAGTTTAAGGTTTTTTTTTAAATGTATTTTATGTGTATGAGTGTTTTGTCTACATGTATGTATGTGCCTTGTGCCTTTGATGGTCAGAAGAAGGAATCAGATCTCCCGAAACTGTCATTACAAATGGTTGTGAGCTCTCGTGTGAGTGCTGGAAACTGAACCCAGGTCCTCGGTAAAAACAAGTTCTTTTAACTGCTGAGCCATCTCTCCAGTCTGGTATCGCAAACTTAAAGCCTGTACAACATGGTAAAACGTATCTTTGGAAACAAAAGCAAGCATTCAAACAACAGAAAACCCTGTGTACTTGAAAACATATTGGGGGTTAGTAACACAGCTCAGTGTGTGAGAGTGCTTGTCACTCAAGCCTGTCAGCCTGGGTATAGTTACCAGAACCTGATTAGGAGGCCTTCCAAACCTCCACATGTGTCTGCACACACACATATACACACACTAATAGTAATCAGTAAAACGATTTTAATTTTTTAAAATAAAGCAACCTTCCTGGTTGCTACTGAGTATTTTAAAAGCCAGGCTCATGGGTCATGAGGTACTTTGGAGACTTGGACACATGATATGGGAGATAATAGAACACAGACTAAAAATCTAATTGAAAATCCAAGCTAGGTTTGGTGACTGAGAAGCCCGAGGCAAGAGGATCTTGAGTTTGAGATCGGCATAGGCTATGTAGTAAGATCCTGTCTCACAAAACCAAACCAAACAGAATAAAATTCACAAAATCGCCAGCAAGTGCAAAGATGGGAGTCCCAGATACACCCGATCCGCGTGGGCTAGGTTTGGGCATTGTGGAGGAGGCTAATTGGAACTGAAGCAGTGTACAGAGGCATAGTTAGAACCAAAGCAGGATGTCCTTGGTAGCCTCATTCAGGAGCAACCTTGCCTGTTGTCCTGGCACAGAAGGGGAACAAAGGGTAAGTACCTAAAGACAGCACTACCCAAACTCTGCCTTCAGGACAAGCAGTGCCCCTCTTGCCTGCTTTCCTGTGGAAGACCACGGCCACACTGCAGAGCAGCAGGCCCTTGTGGCGATAGATCAATAGATCGACAGATCGTGTTTTCCATGCTGCTGCTGCAAACATGTGGAGCAAGCGACATTTCATATTAAAATGACCTCAGGTCAGTTTTGATGAAGAGGTGTCAAAGCCGAAAGCTGGCTCTGAGCACTCAGGTCACTTCTGGCCATTATAGCCATGCATTTTATGATTAGTAAGATGTTTTAAATAGCCAGCCAGTGTAAACAGTGAACAAAATCTTGATATGGCTTTTCGGGTGTTTGACATTTTGGGCTAAATCACTAATGCAATAATAACGTTCTAAGGATCTAGATGTTTTTAGGTGAGCATGGGAAATTTTTTTTCTGTTGTCTTGATTTCCCTCAGTTGTGTAATTAGTATTTTCTAAAGTATTGTTTCTTGCCTTCTAAGGACAGAAACAGACACAAGTAAGAAATAAAGCAGAATTTTCACCATCCAGTCTACACAGTTAGAATATGTCATATTTTACAGTACCTTTTTGTTTGTTTGTTTGTTTTTAAGACAGGGTCTCTTTGTGTAATAGCCGTGGCTGTCCTGGACCTTGCTTTGTAGACTAACCAGGCCTTGAGCTCACAGAAATCCACCTGCCTCTGCCTCCCCAGTACTGGGATTGAAGGCATGTGCCTCCACTGCCCAGACTAGAGAATACTCTTTATGTGGCTATATAAATGTGGTCACGATGTCCTCCTTTGGATTGTCACTGAGTCACCCTAAGCCAGACATTGAAAATCTGGTAAATGAGTGTCATCTTCCCCCTGTGCCATAAACACTTGTTGGTATAGTTTACTGTTGTCCTGCAACCTTACCCTTCAGTCTACCGACGCTCATTCACTTGACTCTGTGCTTTCTGTCACAACTCAGCTGGAAACAACACAGCTTTGCACACATACACTCTGGAACTTCAGGCACGCCCTCTGGAGCTGCTTTGCAGAAGGGCTGGCTTAGTGACCCTTCCCTGGTGGGTCACGCCCACATGCATGTCAGCATTTTCCACGAGAGAGGTGTCAGCACTTGGAGACATTGGCTAATTGGGAGATTTCTGTCTGTCCTTGCTGAGGAAATGGTGTGGGAAGGGGCCAGGGTGTTGTAGAATGTCCCTTGGGCTGCTGTGCTCACCACAGCCCACCATGCCAGCAGCGCCACGTTCAGAGCCCTGTCCTACAGAGCCACCTACCAAAGCCTGCTTCTGTGCACAGCTGAAGCCGGAACAGCAGGTACCCCTCTGGGCGAGTGATCTCCTCGTGCCCACCTCATTTCCTCAAGAATAAATGCCTGTTCAGAATGCTCTGCTGCTCTCGGGGACACAGACTCCAGTTCCAGCTTTTGGTGCCCGGACTGAGAATGTTGGCGAGGACAGCCCAGCTGCCCACCAGGAAGTCACTGAGGAGATTTAAGAGGCTCCCCTCATCACACCTGTAAAGTAAAGTTTCAGTAACATATATGGTAGATTTTTAGGCTTGCAGCTATGTTTTTAAGAATAAGAAAAATCAGAGAAAAGGACCTAAAGGAAGTAATCCCAACATGGTGAACAGCTGTGCTCGGGTGCTCCTTAAGGCTGTGTCCCATTACCCTGTGGCGGGGCTTCCTGGCCTCTCTTCCAGGATGCTACCACCATGCATCAATCTTGCCTGATTCTTTGCTTTGAACACTCCAGAAGAGATGGTGTTTTGTGTTTTTTTGTCTTTTTTTTTCCTCCTCTGCACAGGAATCCCCAGCACCAGCTCAGAGGACACCAGCATAGCCCAAACCCTGGGCCTGCCCTACTTGGAAGTCATTGAAACGTCACCAGATGGCACAGAGAGGCTGAGTGGATCTGCTGAGGTTGGTGCCCTGGCCTGTACCTGAATACTCACTTGTGAGATGGGGTGATGAGACATGAGTCACGTCACAGTCTGCCCTTTCACTCTTTCCCACCCCAGCAGCCTGCAGCCTTGCTTGGTTTCTCAGAACAGAAGTCTGTTCCTTAACACCTAGAAGTTTCTTAGCTTGAAATCCAGTCCAACCCTAGAACAGCTTCGTTGAGAATCTTGCTTGAGAATGATCTGTCCAGAAGAATAGGTTGTTGAATAGGTGACTGGTGCTGATTCCTCTTCCTGGGGAGGGTGATGGCTCACTCCAGGTTATCTGCTGTTTCCACCTGAAGTGCAAGTCACTCACAGAAAGGAATAAACACTCAGAGTTGTGTTGCCTTAGTCAAGGCTGTCTCTTGTTTGATTTGGTACAAGTGGTAGGCTATGAACCCTCCTGTGCTGCTCTGAACCAGAAAGCACAGTGGCAGGGGCAGTTTCGGGGTGGGGAGTAGTTCAGGTGACTCTCATGCTTGAGCACATGTATCAGCATCGTGCTGGCCTTGTTAGAACACGCACTGGCAACACATATCCAGAGATCCTGACTCTTCCCAAGAGTTTCTGTCTCCAGCAAATCTGCATGGTGCTGGTCTTGGTGCTGCGGGCAGTGCTGCTGGTCCAGGACCGTTCCTGAGAATGAGTGGCTTAGAGCCTTGCTGCTAAAGGTATGGTCCCTAGATCAGTGAGTGACTCTGGCATCAGTGGTAGGAATGTGGACTCCTAGGCCCACCCTAGTCACGCAAGATCCTTGAGTGATTTGTATGCACATTAAAACCTGAGGACACTGGTTTAGAGTATTCTTTTTTAAACTTGGCTACACAGTGGAAACACCAGTAAAAGTGTTTTCAAATGTTGGTGCTTGGAAGAAGAGTGTGGTGATGCATACCTATGGTCCTAACATTCGGGAAGTGAGGCAGGAAGGTTAGGAGTTCAAGGTTATTCTAGCTACATGGAGTTTGAGACCAGCCTGGGCTATGTGAGACCCTGTCTCATGAAACAAAAAAAATAAGATAACAATCTGATGGTTGAGTCTCAACCCAGATATTTCAACTTAATGGTTAGTGGTAGTGAGAACATGAGTAGTAAACACCAGGAGTAGTTACAGTTCCCCAGGAGATTTGAACATGAGCCCCAATCTGGGAACTGCCAGCTCGGCATGTCGGTTCCACAACCGGCCAATGATGAATCATTGGAGAAGCACCTGCTGGTTGTCCCCTGGTTCTGGTTCTGGTCCTGTTATACCTGAAGATTCAGTGTTTCAGGTTTGTGACCACCTAGGTATAAGAGTGTACTGTCTTTCTATCCTTTCTGTCTGTCTGTATGTCTTAGGGTTTTTATTGCTGTGAAGAGACACCTTGACCATGGCAACTCTTTTTTTTTTTTTTTAAGTTTTATTTATTATGTACACACTTCTGTCTGCATGTCAGAAGAGGGCGCCAGGTCTCATTATAGTTGGTTGTGAGCCATTGAAATGCTTGTCGTACAGTTCTTCACTGGTATACACTAATAGCGATTCTCTCTTCAGGTATACAGAGCATGGCTGAGAGGGAGGGAGAGCCACAGAACCAGGACTAGATGCCCACCACACACAGCGGGCACAGTGCCCATGGCCAACATTGCTTCTCAAGACTACTGGAAATATTTTAATATCTTCAAAATTTGGAAGTAGAGCTGGAGAGATGGCTCAACAGTTGAGAATACCGCTCTTCCAGGGAACCCAGGCTCAATACCCAGCACTCACATGGCAACTCACAACCATCTCTGCAACTCTAGGTCCAGGAGATCCATCACCCTTCTTCTGATCTCCCTGTGCACCAGGCACACCTGTGATGCACAGACAGACATGAAGATAAAACACCTATATGAATAAAATAGATACATTTTTCATTGGAAACAAAAAACCTTAAACTTTAGATTCAGAATTCTTTTTTTTTTGTAGCAGTGCAATTGCAAAATGTGATTTTTTTTTTTTTAAACATTAGCTTAAGGAGGAAAGGACCTATAAAATGATAAATGCATCCAGGTCTCAGGGGAGTCGTGATTTGTCCCTGCACAGAGCCAGACCCTGTGAGAGTCACTCACTGATGCAGTCATACAGGGTGTTGAGCAGGGCAGCGATTTCCTTACAGCCATCTGTCCTCTCCTCCAGTTCACAGGTATGACCCGGCAGGATGCCTTTCTAGCCCTGACTCAGAAAGCCCGTGGGATGAGAGTGGGTGGAGACGTGACAAGCGATAAACTGAAAGACTGGCTGATCTCAAGGCAGCGCTACTGGGGCACCCCGATCCCCATCGTGCACTGTGCAGCCTGCGGCCCTGTGCCTGTGCCGCTGCGAGACCTGCCCGTGACTTTGCCCAGCGTCGCATCTCTCACTGGCAAAGGAGGCTCCCCACTGGCCTCAGCTTTGGAGTGGGTGAACTGTCCTTGCCCCAGGTGAGGATCCACAGCTGGCACCCTGAGGTGTCTAGGACACACCCCCCTCACTGGGTGCTGAAAGGAGGAACAAAGGCATTTTTGGAACCTTTGAGACAACAGTTTAGAACCTGGCCTAATCACTATAGAGGCCCCTGAAACATGGATCCAATGGAGTAAAGACCATAGGCTTTCATGATATTGTACTGCCTGCCCTTTCTGTCCCACAGAACTTCCTCAAAGTGAGAAAAGCTGTTTCTCTCCTGCTGTGGTTCCCAGTTCAGAGCCTGTGATAGCCATGGAGGTCTTGGTACCAATAGTGGAGTGCGGGAAAGACAGCCAGTGTGTGTTCCTTCTTTACCTTGCGGAAACACACCAGCTTTCCTTCCTTCCTCCTCATTTTGGAGTGGGAGTGGGTTCTTCTAAGATCAGTAGAGTGCATCTAGAGTGATTTTCATGATGCTGTTACCAGCTGACTGAACAGAACCATAACAGACATCATGCTGTTTGTCCCCGTCTTCCCCTTTGCGAAGGAGTGTCCACATTCAGTATGGCATAGCAGCCTCATGTTGTCACGTGGCTTCTTAACTCACTGCTCTCCTGCACAGTAGGGTTTGGGTAGTCTGTCTTATAATTCCCTGGTGTTCTGGGAACCTGATGAGATAGCATCTGTGACAACTTTGCCCTAGTTCTACTGAACCCAGCCCAACCTGGTGACCTTGTGCCCAAGCCCTTCCTCCTTACCATCGAGGGCTTGGTATCGGTGGTAACACCTAGTTGCCTTCCAGCCCACGGAGACATTAATGGAAGTGAGCAGGGGTGCCAGCCAGATGTGATAGCTTCTGGGTAGTGGGCCTCAGTTTTCCTCAGTGTTTCTACAGGTTGGGCAAGGAAGAGAAAGTGCCTTTATCTTCCAGCTGCTTTGCAAACTATTGTCTGTGGTCAGAAATAGGATGCAGTCCAGTAAAGATCTGACTTTCCTTTAGACAGTCACTGTGGAAATGGGCACCCTCTCTGGGGGCACACAGGACTTCCTAGGAACTTCTCCCACCCTGAGGGACCCCATCAAGCCCAGGCTTCCTGATGAAAATGCAAATGTGATACCCTGTTTGAGGTGGGGGTGGGCGGGCTGATTCCTTCTGTAATACTCAAAGAGCCAGTGTGGACTGCCTAATAAATATGGGATGTGAAACACAACCCTTTTCATTTTTTAATTTTTTTCCCCTTCTCCCTTGTCCCCCCCCACCAGGACCCGAAACCCCCTACCCAATCCCTACTCTGTTCCCCAGGGAGGGTGAGGCCCTCCATGTGTGATCTCCAGAGTCTGTCATTTCGTTCAGGGTAGGGCCTAGGGCCTCCTCCAAGAGTTCGGGCTGAGAGAGCATCCCTCATTGTGAGATGGGCACCCTAAGTTCATTTGTATGCCAGGAATAAATACTGATCTACTACCCAAGGCCCCATAGATTGTCAAGACCTCCTCTCTGAACCTTTTCATTTTAAAACTGAAAATAGACTCAAGCTCTTGTGTGCTTAGTGATTGGAAGGTCTCTTGGTTCTCTTGGAGACTTCATCCCTCTCCTCCCAGTTCTCGAAGAGCATCCTCTAGTTTATGCTGCTCAAAGTGAAATATTAGGAGGTCCAATACCTCAGAAGCACAGCTGGTGTGAAATTTCATTGAAATGTAGAAAAAAGCCAATTGGTAAATTTCTTTTCTCAGGTGCAAGAGACCAGCCAGGAGAGAGACAGACACCATGGACACCTTTGTGGACTCTGCGTGGTACTACTTCAGATACACCGACCCTCACAACACTCATAGGTAATGTCCCTACTGTGTGACAGGTAGCACTTTGCATCCTCTATGAAGCAAAACCAAGATGGAATTAGCTATGCCAGGCAGGTGCTGGGGACATGCCTGGGAGGACAGAGAGAGGAGTGAGCTGGTAGAGAGGACACCCACATCGTGTATGTCTGTACCTGGTACCCAGAGAGAGTGGAAGGAGGAGAATGCAGAGGAGACCTGGATCACAGCAAAGCTCAGCCTCAGCAAGGCGTGTGGAAAGAGTGTCCAGGGCATGTGTCCATTCAGAACACAATGTGGGCAGATGTACAGGAGTAGTTCCACAGGCACAATGGTGGGTATTATTGGTCAGCTGTGCACCTCATTCCAGGCTCTTAGCTTGGGGAAGCTCAGGGGTAGAACCTTTGCCTAGTATGGAAAAGCCCAGGGCTCTATCCCTAACACCAGATGAGAAGGATTTTTTTTTTAAGTGAGTAGTTAAGTTATTGTTATTTTAGATTGCTCAGCCTAGTAAATCTCAACTATAAAGGAAGAAGATGTGAACCTAGGGACTGTAGGGTTTCCTGGTCATGGACTGCAGGAAGACAGGGCAAAGTGCTGGGAGAGCTAAACAGCTTAGACTCTTACCACACATGGTCAATAAAATCTCCTGAAGTGAAAATCACTAACAAATATAAACAGTTTTAAATAATTGAAGTAATAGTGGAAGCCAGAAGTGTTGGCACATGTGTATAATCCCAGAAGTCAGGAGGCAGGGACAAGAACATCAAGAGTTCAGGGCCAGCCTGGGGCTGCACAAGACCCTGTGTCGAGAGGGGGGGGGGAGGGGTTAGGTTGGCCAGATGTGGTGATTGATGTCTGTAGGTGGAAGTTTCTGTCCCGCCAGCAGCTCCCCAATAACCACACAGAGGATTATGTTAATTACAAATGCTCTGCCAATAGCTCAGGCTTGTTGCTAGCTAACTCTTACATTCATGTTAACCCATATTTCATAGCTATGCTTTGCCACATGGCTTGGTACTGTTTCTCAGTAGGGCATGCCCTTCCCTTCTTCTTCCCAGCATGCTCCGTTTGACTCTTCCATCTAACCTTATCCTGTCCAGCTATTGGCCAGTCAGCTTCTTTATTAAACCAATCACAACAACATATATTCACAGTGTAAAGGAATATTTCACAGATGCCTTTAATCCCAGCACTCGGGAGACAGAGACAGGTGGATATCTATGAGTTCAAGATCAGTCTGGCGTACATAGTGAGCTCCAAGCCTCTGGGTGCTACACTGAGACCCTGACTTAAAATTAAGTTAAAAAGAGCTGAGATTCAGTCCTGGGGTACAGGGAAAATGGAGGCTAAGACCACTGTTTTTCATGATAAACTTTCAAGTGGTGTTTGATTTTTCAACTCTCTTTCTTTGACAAGACAGAAACAAAGAAAAGAGAACAGTAAGTAACCAAGCAAAGCTGGAATGGGAGCTAAAGAAAACTGTTCCAGAACCAGGAAAACACACTCTGCTCAGAGACTGTGGCAGGCTGCCCTTGCACATGGTAGAAATATGGGGAACTGTACTGTCCCCATATGAAGGGCGTCCATTCTGGGCGTGGTGGGACATGCCTGTAGTTGCAGCCCTCGAGGCTGAGGCAGGAGGCTGTGAGTTGTTTTACAGAATGGTATCCTATGTTGAAAACAAGCAAAGAAAGCACTCCCTACTCTGGATTAGCACGCAGTAGCGTTTTGCTGTTTAGGCAGATGCTCAAGCCACATTCTAAACAGCAGAGTTGTGGTTCCATGATTTGTGTTCATCTCAGGAATGAGTGGGATGCTGAGTAAATGGAAGGATGCAAGGAGACTGGAAACCCCAGAGTGTGAAGAAGGCTTCCCCTTTTCAGGCTGCTTCCCAGCTGTCCTGACCCCTGCGTAGCTCCTCTGTGAACAGACAGGGCTTCACATCTCTCCTGAATGCTGTCCCTGAATGATTCCTCCAGAGTGGTGTCCTAGGTAGAACATAAACTGAACATTTAACCTCACTTATCCCAAACTTGCTTGTGACATAAATGCCAACCTCAACTTTGGCTTTACTGTTGCCTGAAACAGCAGTTGAATTTATTTATTTACTTACTTTTAATTTTTTTTTTAAATTTGAGACAGGACCTCACTGTGTAGCCCTGGTTGTCCTGGAACTTGCTACGTAGACCACGCTGACCTTGAACTCAAAGATCAGCCTGCCTCTGCTTTCCAAGCTTTAGGATTAAAGGTCTATGCCACCATGTATAGCAGCATTCATTTTCCTTAAGAAACTATTGTAGTGGAGGTTTGTTTGGTGATTTGGATGGTTTTGTTTTGCTGTTTTCCTTATTTTCAGTTTTATGAAAATGCTGGCAGAGTAGTAACTGCAAAGAGAGCTGTGCTAACCTGCCACCAGCAGTTTCTGTTTCCAGTCTTAGAACTAGCCACCCAAGAGCATGCTAGGGGAAAAGGACTTGGTGGCATTGGGGAGAAAACTGAATTTTTTTTCTTAAAGATTTATTTATTTATTATGTATGCAGTGTTCTGTCTGCATATATACCTGCACACCAGCAGAGGGCACCAGATGTCATTATAGATGGTTGTGAGTCACCATGTGGGTGCTGGAAATTGAGCTCAGGACCTCTGGAAGAGTAGCCAGTGTTCTTAACCTCTGAGCCATCTCTCCAGCTCAAAACTCTGAAATTTTGAAACCAGGGAGCACAGATCCTCCAAAGCAAAAGTTCCCTCAGCTGACTCCAAACAAAGGGTTGACTTGGGAACAGAGAGGTCTGTTCCCAGCCTCAATGACTCTTTCCCAAGACAGCAGTCAGCATTATAGGACCTACAGAGTCCTTCCTCTCTTCTGTGTACATTAGGAGTAGAAGGAAGCTTGACCTTTGGTAAAACCATGTTGGTAAAGATGAGAGAGTTACTGGGATATTTTATGATGGGCCCTATAGAAGTTTCATTCCTTCAGTAAGCCATATTTGAACTCTTGCTGGTTATTTCAAAGCACTTTTAAAAATAAGACTGAATTTCTGTTTTAAAATGAACATTTACTACCATGCTAGTTCCTATTAGCAATGCTACTATTGCCCTCTATTGGTGAGAATTAAAAATTTTTCTATTGTCCAAACATAATAAAAATTAAAAGCAAAGCATCCTATGGAGATACCTTGTTGCCGGTATCTTTTTCTTTTGTTCTTGTTTTATACAAGAATTACTGGTTTGCTTTGTTTGTTTATTTGGTTGGTTTGGGTTTTTGTTTTTGTTTTTGTTTTTTTTGAGACAGCTTTTCTCTGTGTAGCCCTGGCTGTCCTGAGACTCACTGTGTAAACCAGGCTGGCCTTGAACTCAGAGATCCACCTGCCTCTGCCTCTAAGTCTTGGGATTGAAGGCACCAGCACCAGTGACAGCTCAAAAATTACATTTTATTACATTTATTGTGTGTGTGCATGTGTCACGAGCTATGCACAGAGGTCAGTGGATGACTCATGGATCCAGTCAACACTGGTTCTTTTCTCACTGTACGTTTTTCTCTTATTAAAAGGAAGTCACTGGTTTTTCTGACATTAGTTCTTTTCGAGGCATATGCAGATTACAGTGGGTCTAATTTATGCAGTTGTGGCAAAGAAGGTCCTAAAATGCCCATTTATCTTTCTTCCAGTCCTTTCAGCCCAGCACTGGCCGACTTCTGGATGCCTGTGGATTTGTACATTGGAGGGAAAGAGCATGCTGTCATGCACTTGTTCTACGCAAGATTCTTTAGTCATTTTTGCCATGATCAAAAGATGGTGAAGCACAGGTGAGCATTTGTTTTTGTTTTTTTAACTTGCTTTTTATTTCTTGTGTCTTTCACATCATGCATCTCAATCTCATGCATTTCCCATCCTGTGTGTCTGCTTTCTGCCCTGGAAACCCAATAAGATTTAAGAGAAAAAAAGGGGGGAAAATCTCATCATGGAAGCTGTAGTGTGACACAGTGAAATCACACAGTAACCTCTTTGTCCATGTATCTTTTAATTGTGTTTATTGCCAAGAGTCCTAGGTCTGGTTCGAGGCCTTTGGTTTCTGCAACACTATGCATGCTGGGCCTTCCCTGAAACTCCTCTTGGTTATCCTGCTGCCATCCTGTGTGTGGAGATGCTGCAGCTTTGGGTCTGCAGGACCAGTCCCTTCATACGCTCCAGCAGCAGATCACAGATGGGGTGGGCTAACGCATAACCCTGGTCTGGGCCTGGGCAGATGCAGGGTTGGTCAGCTGGCCAGTTCTCCCCTGTCCTCACCACCAGGGTGAGCTCTGCAGCATCGCCCTGGTGAGTTTGCCCCTTGCAATAATGAGCAAGGGGCAGGACCAGCTCTCCTATTTTCATGCCCTCGGGGTTGGCTTTCCTATACCTACAGCAGCAGGGCTGCAGCAGATGAGTGGCAGGGCCAGCTCTCCTACCTGCCTGGGGTTGATGGGAAATGGGGTGGGGAAACTGGACACGCCTGTCTCAGGTCCTTGTGGTCTGACTTGCTACTGTTTTTGCTGCTCTTACTCATCATTCATTGTTCTTTGGGGGGAATAGTGGTTTTCAGCCAAGCTTATATGTCTTGGTTCCCTTTTTATGGGAACTCCTGGTATAGTCTGTGTAGGCAGTCTGTGTTAGGTTCCCTCTGTTGCTGGAGAGAATACCAACTCACAACCTCATATTCTCTGCCTGAGGTTGCATGATCATACAAGTATCATGGACCCAGTCCCAGAACCATAACAAGATAGGCTTATGCCTGTAGATTCTCAGGAAAGTTTAAAGGCTTTTCTATGCTTCCTAACATTCATGAGGCTTCAGTGGCTCCTGCTGCACCAGAGGGGTTTGCCAGATCTCCTGTATAGGCTTTGTGCTCCCTGCTCTGTCAGGAGTCATGCCTGCCAGGGTCCATTGGCGCATCAGAGTAGAACCAGCTGAATTAAATGTACTTTCTGAGTGTTCGGGGGCTTGGGAGAAGGCTGGGTTTTTTTCTTGTTTCTTTATTCTGATATGTTTTTGCCAGCTCAATGACACATTTTAATCACTGAATTTTGTACTGTCTGGCCTTTTCACTTGTTCTTCTGTTAGGACAATAATTTACACTCTCCTGTGTGCAGGCTGCTAGCAGGATGATCCCAGGCCATCCTGTTGAATAGTCACTAGCAGTACAGGAAGTGTACCTCTCCCTTCCCATCCCCCACCTTCCATTCATTTCCTGAGCTTTTTTTTTTTTCATATTCCAGAACAAAAAATATTTTGCTTATCTTCCCCTTATATGTATGTCCTAATGGTCTGCTTTTTGGGGAGAGGGGAAAGATTAGCCATGTTTAAACGTACTATGTAATAGAAGATGACTTTGAACTGGTCCTCTTGCCTCCGTCTCCCAAGTGCTGGGATTACAGGCATGTACTACTGTGCCCAGCCTGACCACTCATTTGTAAATACTACATATGTTATATGTGTCTTTTGCTTTTTTGATCTAATGAAGTATTTTGAAGCTTTTCCCCTCATTGGAGTATAGGTGTTTACCATTCTTTTTATTTCTGCACACTGTATCATGGTTATTAAAGCATTCACTTATTTTCCTAATTTATTATATTTTATTATTATTTTTAGTAGAATAGGTGAGTGTATCTTTGCTATTTTGTTTTGTCTTGTTTGTTTCGAGGCAGGGTTTCTCTTTGTAACAGCCCTGGCTGTCCTGGAACTCACTTTGTAGACCAGGCTGGCCTTAGACTCACAGAGATCCATCTGCATCTGCCTCCCAAGTGCTGGGATTAAAGGTGTGTGCCACCACAACTGGCAGAGGAGAATGTTTCTTAAGGATCAGTCCTAGCACTGATATCGTGGGTCAACAACTATACATGTATTTTCTTTTTTCTGACTTTTTAACTGGCTGTGGTGGCACATGGTAGCACTTGGGACACAGGCAGGCGAATCATTAAATTTGGGCCATTCGTAGTGAGAACCTGTTTAAAATGCTTTTATTACATTTATTTATTTATTTAGCTCATGTGGGCACATGTGTGGGTAGGTGTGTGCTTGCCACAGTGTTTGTATGGGCTTCAGAAGACAGCTTGCAGGGCTTGGTTCTCTCCTTTCACCGTGTAGGTCCCAGGGACTGAACTCGCCACCTGAGGCTCGGGGGCAAGTGTCTTTACTCACTGGGCCAGCCATCTTGTCTGTCCCTAATTTAAAATCTTTGATAGATAAAAATGTATGACTTATGCACATGCCTGGAATCTCAGGATTAGCCCTGTCTCAAACACAAGATTATGTGTCTGTAGCTTTCAGATTATCTGTAAAGCAGCCGAATTGAGCTTCATTGGAATGAGGGAGCTGGAGGCTCCGCCCTTAAGCCGTTGCCAGCTCTGGAGTTGGGCTGGGTATAATTGATGCCGAAACTGGCTCTCTGATATGTCTACAACACCTGGTCTGCATCAGAAGGACACTAAACATATCGATGTCACTGGGCCCCATCATATAATTAGTTAAAATGTTTGTGGTTCCGGTTATGCAACTTAGTCTACTTGGCATTTTGTATCTGTGAAAACAAGTTTGCTAGCTGTGAGTTGTGTCCTGTTACTGTCACAGTCTCATGGAAATTTTGTATGTGTATGTGTTTTTGTTTTTGTTTTTGTTTTTTAACTCACCATCTGGTCCAAGCCAGCCTGGAACTCTTGTTTTTTCTCTTTCAGTGCTGGGATTATTTATAGGTGTTCACCACCACACCCAGCCGGGTGTTTTTAAAACAGGGTTTCTCTGGGTAAACAGCCCTGGTTGTCCTGGAACTCTCTTTGTGGAACAGACTGGCCTTGAACTCACAGAAATGCACCCACCTCTGCCTCCTAAATGCTGGGCTTAAAGGTGTACACCACCACTGCCTAGCCAGAATAATTTTAAAAGATGTGATTTGCAGTATGTAGTCTTCAAAAAGGAGACCCTGGGAGGCTTCTAGTAATTCTGGGTGAGGCCAGCCTCAACTTGGTTTCTTTCTTGTTCTGCATAAGCAGCCACCTGGCCCTGTCAGGGGAGTAGGCAGCTGTCTGTCCAGGTCTTCAGTTTTCATAGAAATGACACCTAATGCAGTCTGTGCTTGGAATTTCTTGAGCTGACTTCCTCTCTGCCTTCTTCCTGTCCTTTAGAGGTAGGGCAAAGGTGGCCCTCAGTGCCCAGCAGGTGTCAGGGTTATAATTTCTAAATTAGTGGAGGAGCCTGGACTAACCCTGCCTTGTGGTGTTGGTGCTAATTTATGAGCATGTCTTTAGAGGCTTGTTGGACTGTGAGCACTCCAGCTCATTGCAGACTGCCCTGCCCAGTCATCATGCAAATAGTATTAAATGGGTAAGTGAGTCCCCTATGAAGGCAGGCGGGGCCTCCCTGGGCTAGGAGAATGAGATTTGTTCATCCCTGTGTAGCCTTCCCTAGGGTCCTATAAGAGCAGGAGGGTGGGAAGGATCCCTGGACCTGGGAAGGGCCCTCCTCTGTGATATCCCTGTGAGCATACAGGTACACCTGTGCTCCAGTGTGAGGTAGATGTCTCTCAGCAGCTCCCCCTACCCCGCCCCACCCAGGAGCCACAGCACCCTGTGCCTCCCTTTCATCCTCCTCTGCCTTCCCTTATCTTTTAATTCCACTTTGCCTCACCCTGCCACGATGCCCCTACCTCAGCTGCTGCGAACTTTGTTCATTCATTGAAACAAGCTCGGTTTAGTTTAAACCCCTTTACTATTACTGGATACTTGTTGCAAGCTAGGCACCAAAGATGTCTTCAAGGACTTTCTTGCTGCTCCTTGGCAGAGGGCAACTGAGTGGTCAGTGTTTTCTGTCCACCACTTCCAGTTTCTAGTACCATATAACACAGCATCCAGGAAAAAGCCAGGAGGCTAACAGACATCCCAAGGGTGCTGGCTCTGTAGGGGAACTAGAAGTATCAGTTTGGGGACGTGTTGGTAAGGAAGTAGAAGTATGTTGTCTAGGCAATTCTTGGAACAGAGGAGGGGAGAGGGGACATTCTTGGTGGCCCAGAAAGCAATTGGATGGGATTTGGAAGCAGGCGTGGCTGGAGACAGAATGCCACATGACACACTGACCTCCTTCCTTCCTGTCTTATACACCTCACTAGTCCTGGGATTAAAGGCATACACCACCACCACCCAGTTTCTGTGGCTAACTAGTGTGGCTGCTGAAATTAGAGGTGTGTACCACCACTGCCTGGCTTCTATGGTGATGGCTAGCTTTGCATTCTGATCTTTAGGCAAGCTTTATTAGATCATAAACAGTATATCACCACAGCCTCCAGCGGTGCAGTTGAAGGGGCCTGGAGAAGGCTAAGGCAGAATAAGGGCCTCTTAGGCACAGAGCCCCAGCCCTCCCTCCTGCTCTTAGAAAGCTCTGCAAGCATACAGAAGTCTCTCAATCTCCTGGCTGAAATAGGCCACATCTGCCTTTACCCAAGAGTCACATTCATTGAATTCACATTTGCATGTGTGATTGGTGCAGACAAATCCGCTGTGACTCAGGGGACCTGCGGACCATAGCCAGGCCATTGGCATTCATGTGTTTTTAGAAATTTTATGTGTGTGAGTGCTTTGCCTGCATGTATATCTGCTCACTATTCATGTACAGTGCCCTGAAGACCAGAAGAGGACATTGGATCCCCTGGAACTGGAGTTAAAGACAGTGAGCTGCCAAATGGGTGCCAGTAAAGGAACCCAGGTCCTCTGGAAGGGCAAACAATGCTCTTAATTGCTGAACTGTCTCTCCAGCCCCCACCCCTTTCCCCACGTCAAGT